TAAAATCGTCACAAAAGATTCACAAAAGTTCCGGAAAGGCAAACGAAAAAACGATGATGAATTTCCTTACCGTTAGCAAGGAAGTCCTCATATTCGTCACCAGTGTCATTCTCATCCACAGGCCCACTATCAAGTTTACCAAAGTTCTCCTCCAGAAAAGCACGTTCTTCTTCGCTTAAGGGCAACCCATCAGGACCACATATCAGCGCCGAAGAACTAGTAGACGGCAAATTCGTAGTATTCGGCTGAAGCAATTGCGGTTTAGTTATACTTTTATAGAAAATAACAGTAGTAAGACCAGCTGAATTAAAGCTAACTATCAAATCTGCTTCAAAAGCTCTGAAGATTGATAAAAACACAGATGTATTATCTAAAAGAGAGCGTATTAAAAAGACACTTTGAACTTATCCAGCTCCTTCATTCCCCAACATGCTTCTCGAAGTGCAGTAAGAGCTTTGATCTGTTGCTTCACAGGCCTTAAAAATGATAATAATAAAAAATATCAATTAAATATTACTAAGCAAGAGCCGTTAAGAATAATTATCTTGAAAAAAAAAAGCTGGGTAGTGTTATCTGAAGCAAAATATACTCGCTAAGTCCACGATGAGCCTTCGCGTAAACATTAAGTCTTGTCAAAAGCTCGTCGACATTCGAAACTCCGTTCTCCATAGTCTCCAGATGCCGACCACATAACTGTAAAACAAAGTTCACTATTTTGAAAATATCTTCTAAAACTGAATAAACAGCATTCGTCAAACAGCATAACAACTAAATTAACCAGCAATTTTTCACTATCGTTTGCAAATTTGACATGTCAACATGCTTAACCATTTTACCTTCAAAACCTGTACTACTGCCTTAATAGATGAGTCACAGACTTTAACGCCAGGCTCTGTAATGTCATTGGTGTTCAACATTGCCTTTATCTGCTCAAACACAGCAGTCCCGAGTACATTAAAACGAGCCCCGTTGACCTGAAATTTTACAAGTCTGCGAGAATATGGAGTTAAAATAGTGCAATGAGAAGCTGCAGCTAATAGGGAAGGTACAATCGAAAACAGATAAAAAAAGACGAAAAATACCAGTAAAGTGACTTCATATAAAAAATTTTCGACAGATACGTCACACAAATAGCACATCTGTAAATTATCCCAAAAAAAGTTAAAAACCCGAAGGTTTCACTTACAAAAAACCTAGCAGTCACCTTCAAAGCCAAATAATAAATCGCAAACTAAATATTACTATAAAAAGCGTAGACGTGAAAAAAAGTACAAGGAAAAAGCTCACCGTTTCTAACTTTTCATATACCTCCGCGAAGAATAAAAGAAGATTTTGCTGTTGCTCCAAAGTCATTGAACATCTCTGTTTCTCATGGTAATCGTGCATAACCGGCAACAAAGCCTTCTGACGAAAGTCGTCAACTTCAGTCGATAAAAAGGCACACAACCGAGCAAAATTATACTGCACTGATGGTGTAACTGACGCCTGCAACCATTTACGATTATCAGAAAAAAATACAGATTTTCAAAATCCCTTTACACGATAAGAAAGCAGAGGTAAACAGCAGAAATATGACTCGACAAAGCAGCAGCAATTCGGCTCAAGACCCGAATCTAGAAGCAACGCAAAACAAAGATAATGGAGAGTTTATCATTTCAGCAATACCATTTGCAAGATCATTTGAGATACGATAGACAACGCGTCACTTGTTATTGATTTGTCTATTAAACGTTCTCTAATTGCACTAGACCATGTTTCGAACTCGTTTGGCTGGCACACCAATTGTTCCAACCCTACTTGTACCTGAAATCCTCATGAAAATTGCTCTAAAAGTTAAATCCCATAATTCTTGGATCTAAAAAAAATACTAACTTCCTGAAGCAAAGTTGCATTGGAACTGTAGATCATAGTTTGGAAAAGATCGGGAGATAATGCGAAAGGCTGTCCGGTGGCCATTTCCGTCATTTTACTCACTTGTTCGTATAACATTTCCGGCTGTGGCAAGACTTCGTTATTCTGCACTTCAGGGACGTAGAGTGGATGAGGCGGGACCTCAAATTGAAACCGTTATCAGAAAGACAGAAACCAAACCTCCCAACTACTGAATCGGAAGAATGATATTGATTTGGCCCTTGGCAACTAGAAGTTCTGAAACTAAAGAACTAGAGAATAAAAAAAGCATTGCATTTCAGACAGAGCTTCCTTAAGACGGTAGAAATTAAATGAAAGCTAACCCCAAATCTAAACCATCGTTAATTTGCTCTACCTGCTACGAAATGGAAGACAGAAGAACACAGCAATTTAATATTGAGTTACCACACGAACAAATGTATAATCATATGTTCAAGTAAAAACCTTAGAGTACCTCATCAAAAGATCAGTTATTCACTAGAAAAGACTAAAATTGGTATCCAAATATGTTTTGCAAATATTTATACAGTAAAGAAAATCAATGCGCTTCTCGTCAGCGTGAAAAGAAGATTGAGTGAAAATGTGAAAAAAAATAAATAAAACAGAACGGTTCACGAATAAAGTCAGCTGCCAAATAGTGATCATTAAACAAAAATACAGCTACTGTATATAACAGCAAAAATCCAAACGGCAGTAAAATCTCCAAAAATAAAACCATTTTTGACATAGAAAAAAAAGACTGCAAAAATCCACCGACATGCGCAGTCTGGAATAACGAGTAAGAAACTCCACTACATATATGACCTTATATTAAAAATCCTATCGCTTACATAATTACTGCAGAGAAAAACTTGATGCAAGCATAGTCTAACAGCAAAAAGTTAATAATTAGGAATTTTTAGGACGACAGCGAAAGAAATAACACAAAAAAAACCAGGTCCCAATGACTTCATTTAGCATCTAAGACTTGTCTAGAATTCTTATACCACTTGTTAACCGGACCACATGCAGAAGCCCCGTTTGAGCCCTTTGCAAGGCTTATCAGGCAAAATCTTGAAGTGAAGGTTAAATAATAAAGCAAAAGCCGAAAACAACTTGAACCTTTCGTACCGATTACAAAGTGGTTTTCATAAAATTTATAAAGTTTTTAAAAGCACCTACTCCGCGATAATCGAAAGAGGCCTGAGAAAAGTGCCCGTCACATACCGGTGGTGCTGCAGCATAAGGAAAAACGCTCTGAGGTTGCTAAAAATAAGAAAGTAAACTAAAACTCTGCCTTAGGAAAAAATGAAAGAATGTAAAAGAACAGCAGCAACGAAAGAAGCCTAAAAATATCTTTTTCGGGAATTTATATTCTAACTAACTGCAACCTAGAAACTTCCAAACAATGCTTGCCTAATAAAGATCTTGCTCTAGCATCGCAAAAATCAAAAAGAGGCAAAAAACCTGACCCGCCAAAGCCTAAAAAACATGCGCATGCATCACAGCACTGACCAAACAAGCATAACCAAAAAATTTATTCAGGATGCGTTAATAAGTTATTTAAGTTTGGTGTAAAGATAACGGTGTTAAAGCATGCACGGATTAAAGGAAAAAAATAGGAGATGAAGAACACTCCCACAAAGAATCAATTCTTCTGAGCAATACGAGAGCAAAAGTTTAAGAAACTGAACTGTAAACCAAACACCTGATATCCACGACACTTTTGACACCGACGTATCTTCGATTTAACAAGAAGCAACCTCAGAACAGAATTTTTTTTATACCTGACATTTAAAGCGCTACATCTTCGTTCCTTCTTATTCCCAACAAATGCAATTACTTCTGACCACTTTAACCACTTTAAATGCGTGCTGTCAAGACGGCAATAATTCTGTAAATCACTTCTCGTATTTACCAGCACTGGTAGACAACACTTTTGTGATTCTAGGGCCGTAATTTTACACGGCCTGTCTCTCAATCCCTTTATTCATTAGCCCACCAATTGGAAACCATTTGGGAAACCGTTTAACTCACGGTCAACAACCATTATCCCAAAAAACATCAAAATTTTTATGGACACAATAAGCAACGAATACTGTACGTGATATGAAGTGTCCATATTAAAAAGACCGTAATAAATTTTCAAAAGCGACATCCCATTCATGGTTCAATATAATTTAACTCTTGCTCTGTATTAACCAGCCGGAAAACTAACAACGACAACGGCTAATCCACGACGAATGTGGAAAACAGTTAAAAGCAAAACACATATCAATTCTACACTCCAAAATTATGACTCCATCATGCAAAATCCGCTATTAAATTACTTATAATAAATTATCTCTTTACAAAAACGATAAAAAAATTTTTTTATAATCGAACTAAACCCGTAACTGCTCATTTTCCGATCCATGGACTTCAGAAAGCTTGTTTTAGAGATTTCACAAATTATATGAAGACCAAGAATAAGCTCAAAGCTTTACAAATTCACAACTAGCAGTTGAGTTCTGAATAGCTAGTGCTTCTTCTGGAGCTACAAGAGCTGAGTTGCATTAATAACACAAGAAATTCGTCTTTCCTCTAAAATGACGTAAATATCGGGTAACCCGGCCCAAACTAAATTTCTTCTCGTGATGGCGCTGTCATACAAACGATCCCAGAATCGGTTTAGCACACAACAGACTCAACGATCTGTATGTCGACAATGACTGTAATTCCCCAAACCTCTTCTCTTAATCGGCACTGGCTAAGAGGCGCCCCCCTTCCCTTTCTCGCCAATTTAAAATCACCATCGTATATACAAGAAAAAAAATCTAACGCGCTTCGAATTTCCGAAAGAACAAGCAATCTGCCCAGTAAACAATCGTATTTGAATCCACTAAGCGGTACCGATCAAAAAAAAAAAAAAACATGTCGTCGGTAAAAGTTAACTGAAAGTTAATCGGAACAAAATCTCATAGCGTTCATTGTACGATGTCATTAACAATGATTTTTCTCTTTTACCTCTTAGTTAAACTAGGAAAATGTAAAACAGAGATTTATTCAAGAACAGTAACATTTCACTCATTTATTATTTTTCCAGTAGAAGTAGCCAAAAAACAGTCAAATGTCCTGAAGAAAAAAAAAGCTAAAATGCCAAAAAAAAACTATTACAGGTCGAAGCCGAGTTGCTTTGAGAGCAAAATTTTACGAAGCCCACCAACACGCCATAATTTAGAAGATCCGCAGTGATGAACAAGTTTGAAAAAAAATATCCCCTTCTCTTCTCCTAATATACTGTAAAATTGGTAGAAATGGTAAACATCTAAAATGGTAAAAAGGGGAAATCCCCAAGTCCAAAAACCATACTGAACAAACACCAACTATAGCGACCAGCACACTAAAATAAAAGCAGATTCTACAGTTCCTCTAATATTTCAAGAAACTTTGCATACCGAAATTTCAAGCAACTACTAGTCATACTTTCAAGGGAAGGTGAAAAAATATAAGAGAAAAAACACTGACTAAAATAAAAACTGATAAATCACAGCACGAACACCAAAAGCTACAATAAAACAACATCTTCAAAAACAAAATTAAAGGTCCGATAGATTTTAGACACTATAAGCACCATTGTGCTTCCAAAAAAAAAAAAAAAAAAAAAAAAAAAATTTAAAA